AGATGGCGCAAAACAACTCATCCCTTCAGTTTCTTTCGTGAATTGTGACGTTGAGTGCCTCAACATTCGTTGGCGCGAAATGCACGCCCTTGCAGGCAAGTGAGCATAATTCGCGCCTGTATAGAGGTTAAGAGAAAATAAATTCGACAGCATGTTGAAATTGTGGCTTTGGCGTAAAACGTCTCATTTTAGACAAAGTAATTACTGACGGACTACATGATGGAGCAAATAATTTACTTGGCAAACAAGTGTGTAGTACAATGTAGGAGTATGCTGCGAAGCTCTGACCCACCTATAGGCGCAATGTCATGCGCTTCGTAACGTCAATAATCACAAACCGCCACTTCCCACTGAGTTTCGCGACTGTGGTCTAGTGGCTAAGGCACTCGGCTGCTCACCAGCAGGTCGCGGGATCGAATCCCGTCCACAGCGGCCGCAGTTTTGGTGGAGGCGAAAATGCCCGAGGGCATTCTGCTTAGATTTAGGTGCACGTTAAAGAACCCCTGGTGGTCGAAATTCCCGGCGCTTTCCAGAGTCTCTCGTAATCATGTGGTGGTTTTGGGACGTTAAACCCCAACAATTATTATTGGTATATATCTCAGTTAATTTCCGTTGATTGCTTCACAGTTGCGCAGGTGCAGGGTGTCCCACCTGTCCACACACATCGGCGCTCACGGTATGGGGCACGAAGCCCACGTGAACGTTCGTCCCTTCGTCAAGTCGTCACGCCGGGACTTCTTCCGGCTCGTATGGCTCCTACAACTCGTAGAACTACTTCGCGACGAATTTCTCTTGCCCTTTCAACGGGCTTGAACTTGGCGAGCTGACACCTTGTATACGACGAAAAATGGGCACTGCGCTTATATGTTCTTCGATCGCAGTGAGAGACGAAGCACGTAATAAACGAGGTATGCTTTTTGGTAGAATAGCACACAAAGTTGGCTCGTTTGGCGATCACAGGCAGGCGCAGATTTATCCTCTGCTATACTCGGGGACAACTTTCTGTGGCAATCAAGGAAAGTCTACGGTGTCAATGTGGGCGTGTGCCATCGCTGTAGAATATAGTGCCACAAATGCGCTCGTGTTTTTTCGCGTGAAAATATTAACGAACAACATTACCCCGCCGTGGTGGTCTAGTGGCTAAGGTACTCGGCTGCTGACCCGTAGGTCGCGGGATCGAATCCCGGCTGAGGCGGCTGCCTTTTCGATGGGGCCGAAAATGCTGTAGGCCCGTGTGCACAGATTTGGGTGCACGTTAAGGAACCCCTGGTGGTCGAAATTCCTGGAGCCCTCCACTATATACGGTGTCTCTCATAATCATATCGTGGTATTGGGACGTTAAACCTCACATATCAATCAATCAATCAATCAATCAATCAATCAACCAATCAATCAATCAATCAATCAATCAATCAATCAATCAATCAATCAATCAATCAATCAATCAATCAATCAATCAATCAATCAGTCAATTAATCAATCAATCAATCAATCAATCAGAAGAACATTATTTTCCAGTAGATGCCGTTTATAAAAAAACGCTGCACGCACCAAGGAGATATTCATATATGACGTTGCTTCCTGAAGAGACGCTTCGCATTTTTGCGCGTGTGAAAACGTCGCACCTTTGACGTGCATCTCACAGTCAAAATGGCGTCTTCGTCTTTACGTAAGCGCGCGTTGCCCTCCAGCTATTCCGACGGCTCACGGACGACTCACAAATAGGTGTGCAACAAGCAGCCGTATCAAATTGTGTGCAGTGGGATTACCTGAACACGGCCGTCATTTGAAAAGCGAGCCGAACCGAACTACTTCGCGGAGGAGTACAAGAGCAGTAGCTCCGCCCCCGTAGCTTTCCCTTCAGTGCTACAGAAAGTTGTCCCCCCGAGTGTAGTACCAACGCCTCCTAAAAAAACTATGCTTGGAACGTCGCTCTCTTTCCAACTGGGAGCTTCCTGCCAGCACAAAATCTCGGAGGCCATGTCTCCTGCCGCGTGTTGCGACCATCGGTCGCGTGGAACCGCTCGCCTCCGTACCGCTCAGTCACGTGACATTACCTCACCGTTCTGTCACGTGACATCACAGTTGCTCGGAGGCAACTGTGAGAGAATTGCTTCGTTCGCCTCCCTACCGGAGGGGGAGGGTAAAATCCAAAAGTAGAGTGGCACGTTCATGGCTCACGTTCCAGGCCAGGCGTAATTTTTCTTGGAGGCATTGGTAGTACACTCTAAGAAAAGATCGCGTTCCCTTCTTTGCATCACTGCCGCGCGCCCAGTACTTTGGGGACATGAAGGACATGCGCGTTATCAGAGTGACATGGTGTTCTTGATAGAAAAGTAGCCAGCGCCGAGTTTTCAGGAGCAGAAGCGCAAGCGAGACAGCCGATGAAGATTATTCTTGCGGGTCAAAAAGCCACCCTTTTTACTCGATATTCTTTAGAGTGTAGGGGATGGTGACGCTTCACATCAGGCTTCCCCTTTCCCGAAATGACAGAGACCGGAAGAGAACAAAGAAATATTCCGATGCATGTGAAAAAAAGTGACGATGTGCATCTCAAAACTATCGACCTTTGGGGGCCACCTTTCAAGAGACAAAGGTAGGTACTAAAGCAAACCATCAAATTTCCCACGAACAGTCTTCGGATGCTATTGTCAGTGCACGTGGCCGCAACTAGACATCGGCAAAAAATTGTGGAGCTCGCTTAGACTCGTTGATGAATTCCCTTTATCCCTTGGGACTCGCTTTGACTCGCGTGGCTTTCCTCAACTGGACTCCCTTTGACTCAGATTCAACAAATTTTTTCACAGCCTGACTCACTCAGACTCGCCATTATCACTTATCATTTTCACGTCATTATCATTATCGCCATTATCATAATAATGATTCACGGCTTGATCGGAGCTCGAGCGAGTCTGTGTTAGTGGACTCGTGAGTTTGCCGACCTATGGTCGTAACCCAGCGCTTAAAACAGTGAAGGCAAGGATCCCACTGAATTAGGGTATACATGAGACTCTCCCCTTCCCTCTGAAACCCGTGAGATTACGAATGGTTATGGCCGCCTCCCCTCCCACTCATCCATTCGAATGCCATGTACATTGGTGGTAAAATGGCCAGCGTGTGGGGACGAACAATGTTCTGAAGCGCTTTTAGAATAATAGAGACGTATGAGAAGCGTGATGTGGCCCCGCAACCCGCCTCAGCAGCTGTCAACTATTGCGTACACTAGAGGGAACTTTGGACTAGCGCCTATGGTAGCTTCAACACATGACGCAGCAGTCAACGGGGAACCAGGTCGGTTGGCGGGACAAGTGTGTCCAAAGATGCGAGCACGAAGACTAGGCCAACCAATGCCATCATCATCATCATCATGATCATCATCATCATATTATTATTATTATTAATAATCATCATCGTTTACATTATCAGTATCATCATTATCATCATGGTCATCATCGTTATGATTACCATCATTATTATCGTTATCATCAAAACTATCATTACCATCATCATTATCACTATCCCTATTATCATCACTATCATTATCGTCATTATCATTATCATCATCAACAGCCTGATTACGCCCACTGCAGGGCAAAAGCCTCTCCCATGTTCCGCCAATCAACCCGGTGCCTTGCTCCCATGAGGAGGAGCAGGAGGAGGAATAAATGAGGAAGGACAGGGAGGTTCAACTGCCCATCATCCCTACGGTAACTGAACGATCACTGCACCCCCATGGTGAAGATAGCAAAAAGGTCTATGCAGTGAACGCTAAGGAACAGCAACAAAGAAAAGGCATCGCATTGTGACTATTAGCGAACAGGAATCAACATTATTGAAGAGTTACCGGCCAACATAGTTCAATTTTCAAGTATAGCCCTTCCTTCTCACATTAACGGAGCACGGAAAATTTAAGCTTTCAATGATGAGTGGTTCACAAAAACCATGATAAACACTGTAATGTCTTCACTTGCCTTTTGCAAGATTCTTTTTAACGTTAACGTCTTTTCCTCTGATATACCACGCTGTTCATGGTATATTCATTTATGCGTTTTACTATCAATTAGACCGCAGATTCTTTTCATTGCCACACAAAAAAGTTGCCTATAGGCCACAGGCAATCTCTCTCCGCATGCTTCAGGCGGTAAAATACCCTAGCCTTGTAACCTATAGCCACTACTCCGACATTTTGGACTGCCACTGTCGCAGTGATTTTAACAACATGCTCTGGAGGTGCCCCTCTTTACAATGAAACAAAAATGAAGAATTTTCCGAAAATGACTTTCATTTAATGCTCACGAGTCCGGTCCTCATACAACTCAAGGCTGTCCAGAAGGCCCACGATGGGGCGGTAAGGCTAGAGCTCCCCGTCCCAACGTGGGAGTGGCCCGTGGTCCTACCCCTATAAAACGGGGTGGAATCCTTCAGGATCCCAATACCTTTTCATCTATGCATCCATCCAATTAAATTTAATTGCTTCAATTTATTACCCTGGTGCATTGTTATCGTATTCCTCTTGCTGCCCAATTCTTGACCATACCATTAGTGGATGCATGCTATTATAGTGCCACGATCATTATTACGAGATCACTATCATCATAACTGCCAAAATTCATAGCCGATCGATTTCTTGGCCAATCTCCCAAGGTTTGTCTGGGCCCTGTTTTAGACTTCAGCTTCGCAATAGGTTCAGCCATACAATTAAATGATTTTTCCACATTATATTAACCACCGGTTTAATGGCCAGTAAACCGTAGTAGGTACGAGCCAAAACATAGGCATAAGCAATGAAGGTTTTACTTTCATTTTAGTTTCATTTAAGTATCCTGCCGCCTCGTTCTTGGCCTATCCCCCTCTGTGGGTGAGCGCCATCCATCTGAGGTTATCAGCATCAGCATCAGCACCAACTATCAAGCCAATCAACGTAAGGGCTCAAACAGCATCGGCATCAACTGCATCAACCTTCGCCGGCAAGCCAACCGTGATTGCGGTACACGCTTGCCATGGACTGCGCCGGTGATCGAGCCAACGGCCAGCGACATGACTCAGCAGTGCTACCTGCAAGTGGCGGCGACGGAGACAGGGTGAGGAAGAAGCTCTGTTCGCATCACTTCGGGATAGTTTGCTCTCGATTAGACACAAATTTTCCAGACTGAATCAGTTTTAACTCTAGCAGTGAGACGATTCTTGAGATGTTACGCGCGTAGGCCAGCAAGAAGAGTAAGGCTCGCTCACAGTCACCCGAGCAATATGCTTCGAGGTTACGGCTTACTCGGACTCAGAATCGCCGAAATTTTCCTCAACCCGACTCTCTAACACGCACTCGCCAAAATATTGCTTGTTTGAACGCTAGATGAAGGCTCGATCTGTGCCTGCGTGTATCGACTCACGATAAGCACGCCAAACTAATATATATTCTCAGAACTGTTAAACTTTAAACTAATCCGTTTCCCCAGCTTTACACTAGACATAACGATACAATCGTGGGGCAAGGTCATGCAGTGTAGGTGAACTTCCGGTTAAAAACTAACAATTCGGCTACTTAGCGAGTTCTTACATTCAAGTATATAGCGGCGTTATTGCTAGCTTTGGCGATATGGTGCAATAGAAATTAACATCTTCCCAAAGGGAACCCTGATGGGATGTGAAGCAGCGGCGTTGCGCACGAACGGGATCGGTGTTTTTGACTCGCCCCTCGTCGGTGTCATTGGTCTCCCGCTGCCGACGCTTCCGTTCGGCTTCCCTGACTCGCGTCTCGTCGGTGTTGCAGGCGCGATGTCGCCATTCGCGAATGCGATCGGTTCTTCTAACCCCTGCAACACCGGCTACCGCCGGGTTAGGCCAAATATCTTCGGCACATGCCTCGGTGGGCGAAGGAGCTTCGTTTTCCGGCGCGCTCTCGATCGCACATAAACGAGCCGAAAGAGTGTTCACTCAATGTGCGCTCGAACGTGGCGATCGGTGAAGAGAGTGAAGCGAGTGAGGTGACACGTGACGCGCAGCAGGCGAGGAAGAGAGAGTGACGTCGCCACGCACTGCGAGGGAAGGCGTTACCTACTTGGCACTTATCCAACACCTGCGGCGAAGGAAGCGTGGTGCGGCGTGTTGGCACGGAGACACGGATGGACAGCGTTACGCAGGCTAGTCAAAGAGCTGCTTCGCATCTAAAAGCTCACATCGACAGCATTGACCCGATGAATGTCAGTATCTCCGTCAGAATTGAACCCCAGCATTCTGCGTGGCCATCAAGCATTCTGCCACATAGTTACACCAGGTCTCGGAACTGCTTTTCGAAGAAGCCCTAATGTTCGTGAAATATCAACTATAGATGCAGTGCCTGCTAATTTTATAAGCAATACATTTCTACTCCTGTGATACAACCGTCACGTCGGGTTGAGGTCCATTGAAGTTTCTAGTCATTATCTGCAGTTGATTTATGTAGTAGTTTCCAGGGGGCTACTGTCCTCGCGAGCACAAGTGCTAGGTATAGCTTACCGATTGTGGTGTCTAATACTTTCGTTGCTGTTGGCGTTTTAGATGCGGGGCAGCTGATTGCGGAGTTCAACCCAGTCTGCTGTGTCAACCCCTTTACCGCGCATGCGCAACTGCTGGCCCGAGCATTGCCGGAACGCGCTAACGTGCTAGCGTGTTCCGGCCTATGTAAGGGGCTGGGTAAGACGATGTTACTCTCCCCCTTACACTCTCTCAGCAATCACGCGATGGCGTCGGGGAACGAAATTCTGCGGACGCGCGATGGACACACGTGCTCCCGCGTGGCGTGGCGATGAATGAACCCACGTGGCGGGCTCCAACGAGAGTTCGGGACGAGTAACAGCAACATGAACTACAGTGAATTCGTGGTGTGCTTCACTTGCAAGGACGCGTTAACATCGGGCAAGGTGCCCGTGATGAACGGAATCTTAAAGCGACCCATGCGCTGCTTTTCATGGTACTTATGGTTCCCTTTAATAATAATAATAATAATAATAATAATAATAATAATAATAATAATAATAATAATAATAATAATAATAATAATAATAATCGATTAATCGTTTCCCTAAGGGTGGGTTACAGCTCGCAGCCTTCACGTTACGCGAACAGGGCGCATGGCGTTGGGCTTCTCGTATCGTCTTCGCATACCTATTCTCCTCCTCCGCTGGCTTGTACGTTTGTTATCGCACGAGGCGTTAAAAATAATTGATTGAGCGATCGAGGATTCGCAACCACCTTATCACATGTTGCGCTTTCTCACTTTCAGTGCGCCGACAACGGCACCTGCACCTGTGGCAAGGTGAGTTAGTGGGTGTGTAGGTGAGTGACTACAAGTGCATGAGTGAGTGAGCGATTGAGTGAATGAATGAGGAAAGGAGTGAGGAAGTGAGGTAGAGAGTGAGTGAAAGTGAATCAGCGAGTAAGGGGAAGTAAGTGAGTGCGTGAGTGAGGCAGAGAGAGCGAGTCGAAGTGAGTGATTGCGTGAGTGAATGAGGCCGTGAGTCAGTGTGTGGATGAGTGAGCAAGTAAGAGAGTGTGCGTGAGTAGTAGTGAGTGAGTGAATGAGGGAGAGAGAAGGTTTCAAGTATGTGACTGATCAAGTGAAAGAGTGAATGGGTAGAAGTGAGTGAGCGAGTGCGTAAAGGAATGTTGGGGAGAGTGGGTAGAAATTATGAAGTGAATAGAAGTGAGTGAGTGCGTGGGTGAACGAGGGAGAGAGTGAGTGAGCAAAAGTGAGTGAATGGAGAGTGAGAGAGTGAACGAATGAGTGAATGAGAGAAAGCGTGTGTTAGTGAGGAATGGTGAGTGCGAAAGGAAATGAGGGCGAGAGAGCGAGTTAGTGAGTGAGAGTGTGCGAGTGCGTAGTAGTGACTGAGCGATTAGACCTGAGTTAGTGCGTGAGTAAATCAGAGATTGTGAGTGAGTACGAGTGAGTTCTACTTCCTTTAAACGTCTGAGGAGGAAGCACATTTAACAATGAAATAACGTAAAAAAAAAGCTAAGGAACTTGTGCTTGGACTGTCACGTCAGTCGTCGAATATCTTTATTGTCGCGAGCAACGGATTACGCTCCAGTTTTTTTTAAGCATTTCGGTTCGAGCACTTCTGTCTTTCCAAAATTTCACAAGTCTTTCAAAATAACACTAGTACAAAGCCAATTGTTCTAGTTTAAGCTCAAAGTTTCCTTGGACACACATGACATCGGAGCATAAGTTAAAATAACGTAGAGGCTACTTAGCCAACAGAATAAATAATGAAAAATAACTCAAATAGTTTACCGAAAGGACGGACAGTTTTTGCGTGAGCATATGTGAATGTTGAGGCACCTGGTGGAGCAGAGCTCAACCACGCGCTTATTTGTACTCGGCCTCCAAGATCCGCTTCGGTAATGTGAAGAAACACGAAGTTAAACCAATGAATATGCTATGCAGGGCACACGAACACCGACGTGCTAGCGCCACTACCAAACGTCTCAGTGAGGGATTAGGGTCGCAACCGGAATATATTCTGAACGATGCTGTAAAGGTTGTTTTACGCATTACGTGGGCAAAACCTATTTAAGCTCTTTGGACAACTGCATACAGTTTTCGCACAGTAGAATTCGTGGTAGTCAAACCTCGATATAACCATAAGCAGATACATTTTGGTTATAACGAATTCAAATGAAATATAGCGTTGTCATTTGCGGTGACACCAATTCACGTCAGTGATGAATTTCAGAATATAATGAATTGATTCTGGTATGACATTCGACTTCGTTGTAATGAAGACTTCTTGTTCTATATTTGTCAACATTTTGATAAAACAGGTGAATAAGCATGTGTAAGCTCTGTTTCGAATCTGGACCTTCTAACACCTAATACCCTAGTGCGGGAGCACACTATTCTATTTTTACCTGTTATATATTATTGTATGACGAAGTGAAAATGCGTATGCCCTTTATTGAACTAATCTTTCTTTTTTTTGGTGTCACGGTGCCCAATCAATAGCCAGTCAAGCCCTTGATGAAGAGAGTGATAGCCGTAAGTGGGACCTTTCGGGACATCTAAACCTGTAACACTTGTAGAAGTGATCGCGCCAGCCTTGCAGTGGCAGTGTCTCTGTACACCCTGACAGAAGTAATAGGCTCGTAGAATATTTCACAGCGCAATGGGTTAGAGACGCACAAGTAAATTTCAGTTGTGAGTTCAGCGCTGTGTCCCATCTCAGTCCGTGTCTAACCCGTTGCGCTGTAAAATATTCTACGATGAACATCCACCAACTTACCCTACTCGCGATTCCGCTTCAGAAGCAATGGGACTTGTTCTGTTCTTGTAAGTGCCTACCTAGCTAGTTGATTGCATCAATGACCTTAACTTTTGCTGTACACTGCACGCGATGCCTGTGAGCGACAGCCACAGGTATGAGTCGACACAATCGGACTCCCTTAGACTCAGATCGAGGCGTGAGTGTGAGCGAGGCCGAGTGAGTAATACCGTACGTACCCAAATGCAAGAGGAGTTATTTTTTTCAGATTTTCTGTATCTAAAGTCGAATTTAGCGTTACAAACGAATACCGAAATGCTGTTTTTTTTTCTTTCTGGAGCCAACCCTCGCGTTATAGTCGAGGTCGCGTTGCAATCGAGTAAATACGGTGTTTTTGGTGAGTCTGGCTTCGAGAGAGTCCTAAGTGAAAAAGAAACACATGTTTGTTGAGTGAAATAAGGTGTGCGATGAAGCTAGTTGGTATTTTCTTAGTAAACTGATCAGCTCAAAAATGTTAGACAACCCACTCAAAAAAGACGATGGCCAGCGCAGACATTCAACTGATTTATTATGACTAAGACACACATATATATAGGCTGCAGAAAAAGCTAAGACCACATGCTTACAAATGGTACTGCCTTCGTAATTCGGTATTTTTCATGATCAGCGTCGTAGAACGGGACAGCTTTAAGCTCTCCCATAGTAGAGTACCTGTAGTACTCTAAATTGTCACCCACTTTTTCTAAACACACAGAACATATTGCAATTGGGCCGGTTCCATCTTTTCTTTTGTCGTTGTCTTTATTTGTGCTCACCAGTTTTTCGTTGATACGTTGAACTACGGTAACAGCTGGATTTTTTTCTCGTGGACAGGGGGGGGGGGGTCAATAATAAAAAAGTCAGCGTTAGAAAAAAGAGCACTATTTCAACGTCGTCGGCAGAATGAATGAAGGAGAATTTCAGAGCTCGTTTCTATTTGTTTTACACAACATTCGCGAGAACTAACAGACAATGAAGCTAAGGAAAACATTGGGGATGTACCTAGCAGTAATTGTGGTATTAATGGAAATAAATTAAAGTACATAAAAAGATGACTTGTCGGCGGCAGGGACTGAAACAGCAGCGTGTAGGTATAGAGAGCCTATCTATTTGCTATTTTCTTGGCCTTACCTGCAACGCTTTACTCGAGGGCCTGCAACAGCGAAGCGCGACGTGTCGTAGTGAACATAAGCACTAGCCTTGAAGCACTGCGCAACGACGAGCTGTAAGTGTCTTCCTACATTGAAATACCGCCCTTCCCTACAGCGCATGCATTGAGAGAGTGTCCAGTGCGGCAGCTGTCTTTTAAAACGAGAAACCTGGAAAAATCTACGCCGACAACATTGCAAAAAAAAAAGCATGTTGAAATTTAAGCACCTGTATGTAACACTCCACAAATGAAACCACAGTAGTTTGTTGTAGTTTAAGTATACTTGGGGTTTTTGTGCTGTGGCAATTTTCAAGGAAAGTAATCCAAAAGTATTCAATTACAATCCCGCAATTGTTAATTTGCATAGCTGAGGCTGTAATTGACCGCTGCAATCATTTGCATTTTAAGGAAAGTACATGTAATCTGGTAATTACTGTCTGCAACGTGTAGAAGACTGCCCTGACATGACACGACCCGACGACGTATCAGTGGCGAAATAGCCATTCTGATGCTACTCCAAGGAGAACTTGTCGCTTTCATTGATTGTACGTAGCGTGAGGTCACACGTGACGTTTCAACTAGGGTCACGTGGCCCTGGGCTGTTGCGATGGAAACAGACGCACTCGTTTTCTAACGACATCCGTTCTGTTCTTGCCGATCGCAGTGCGCCCTGGTGATGTTGCTGACAACCACGGTCATGAATCAGGCGATCAACTTCATGAACTACGGCGTGTCGAGCTTGGTCACGTTGGCGCTGCCTGACAGTGAGTGCAAAGAGTTCTTTCTGCGCTTGAATTTGCGGTTATAGTAGTAGTGGAGGCCGTACAATAAAAAAAAAGCGCATTCAACTAAGACAACTTGAAAACGAAAGCCACCAAGTCGTCTTCCTCTTTCTCATCTTTCTCTTTTCAGTCACATGCGATGACCTACGCTTGTATCCGTTCGTAAGCTGTCGGCACCTAATGTCGTTTAGCACTGCCTCTAGGATCAGAGGCGTTGCGAGCGATTTGTACACTGTCCCTTTTTTGTGAAAGGTAACACGTGACCGTGTGGCCTACGCTCTGCCGCGGTAAGGTCCCTAGATGAAACAAGTTCTAGGGACCTTATGCCGCGGCTGCCTACAGTTCCATCAGCCAACAGATCAAGAAAGCGTGTCTGCTTCTGACAGCAAATATTCATGGTCGTTGTAAATGCGCTGGTAGATTGATCCCACTACGCTGTCGCAAGGGACGATGTCTGCGATAGTGGACGCGCTTTTTTTTAATATATTGGCTGATGGGGCTGCAGGCAGCTGCATCAGAGCTCAGGCCACGCGTTCGCGTGTTCTCTTTCATAAAAAAAAAGGACACTGTACACCTTACCTAGTTTCACACTCTCTCCATCATCGGCCCACTTTGACTGAGTGATTATGCCATGCGATGACGTTGTCATACGACGTCAAAAATTTCTGGCGATGTGCGACAGCATCATGACGGCATACTGGCACGGCATCGTGCCAGGCGGTGGTCAACTTTCGCGTTTTATGTTCAACCGAAAAACAAGCGTGTCATGCTCTCCTGGCGTGTCCCGCCTTTGTGGCACAATTCGTGACGTCAGGAAACGACTCACGTGACGTCAGGATGCCATAAACTCGCGACCAGTCAATATATGAGAGATATTTGTGGTGAATTGCCAGTTACTTTGCTTCGTCACGCAGTCGAATGCCAGTTCTTCCTTGTCTCGCATAATCAACGTGCGCAATAAACTGATTTCGCTTCGTTTTCGACATTTAATTGCGATCGCGCGAGCGGAGATAGAAGCTTTGTGGGGGTACTATCATCCCCTGTGAAGTCGTTTGCGCCTGGTGGCGCACACGTGCGTCGCGGATAGGCCACATTTGCGTTCGACAACCTTGGTGCGGCAGGTGGCGTCGTTCTCACTCGCGTTTACCACTATGAGCATCGTCATTAGGGCTAGCCCGGTAGCGCCAGCAGTGACGCCTGGCGGCGAGGCTGGGCGGCCGCACATGAGACACGAGCGGCTCTCCCTCGCGAGGGGCGGCTGGCGTGGTAGTCATCTCCTGACAGAGCTCCGCGGCATGCGGCAACAGCGGGTCGTGTGTCCCTAGCGGTGAGTCGAACGTCGGTGACCCTGACGCCTTCGTGTTACCTTGTGTTTATTGTGTAGATCGAATGTATTGGGACACTTAGCGTGTTACTAGTGATGCATCTTGATTCGGCTCTCGATGTCGTCCGGGTAAAAGTAAACTGAATGAATGTACAGTGTCAAGTTTTATGAAAAGGAGCACGACGACGAGTGGCCTGCGAGCTCCGGCGGCTGCTGGCAGTGCGTTCAAGTGGAAGCGAGAGCAACCACAATTTCTTTTCGCGTCATATCGCTGCGAGCAAAACAACCATTCGCTGCTGATATAGGACGGTAAGATTGCAACCCCTCCCCCTTCAAGGCGATTACCGGCTCTCTAGCAATCGCCTTGTAGGGGTAGAGGGAGAGGGTCCCATCTTGCCGCTGTTTCATGTCAGCAACCAATGGTTCTTTTGCTCGCCGCGAGATGACGCCAAAAAATACCGTGGTTGCTCTCACTTCCATTTGAACGCTCTGCTAGCAGCCGCCGGATCGTGCAGGCCACGCGCTTCCGTCTTGCCTTTCATAAAGAATTGACACTGTACACAATATTTTAGGAGAACTTGTTGTTGGGCTAGTTGGTAGATCATTTCGAAAAGATAATTAGAGCGCGAAAACTTGACACGATCACTCACACACGCACACACCCATGCATCAAACACACAGCGCTCGTGTTTCCATGCACCATGCATCAAACACACAGCGCTCGTGAGCGCTGTGTGTTAGATGCATGGGTGTGTGCGTGTGTGAGTGATCGTGTCAAGTTTTCGCGCTCTAATTATCTTTTCGAAACACAATATTTTAGTTTGTTTCAAGTGCATCTGCGTTACCCGTGTGTTTCGAGAGCGTGCCTCATGACGAGATCCCGCAGCGTGCAGTGGAAAAGCACGAAATCTTGATTGCCTACAGGCTTCTTGAAGGCCAGCGTCTCCTCTATTTTATCAATGCCACCCAGAAGCGAACGATCTAATCGTTCACCACCCTCTCCTCTAGCCCTTTCCCACTCTCGCCCATTGCCTTGCATTCGTGTGTGCTGTGCGGCTATGGGGAAGAGAACCCATCATGTAACGCCTCATGATGGGTATCATACGAAGTAATTTTTTGTTCAGTTGGGTACATATCCCTGCAGCGGCGTCTTGCATTTTCCGTGCTTATGATGTTGGCAGTCACGCTGGCTTTGCAAAAAATATGGTGTTTTTAAATAGCGTGTCACCGTTCGTGGTGCTATGCAGACAACCAATGGGGAAGCATCACTGCAACGCTTATGCATGCGATGCTCAGTGCCGAGGCGGGGACACTGCTTCGAGCCACAAAGAGGGAACATGAAGGAACAAATCTGACCGGCGCATGTTATTGGAGTAGGTAACACGTCCGTTGCATCTCCGGGGAAAAGTACTCGGACGCACGTGAGACGCAAGTCGTGCTACCTAGAGTTCTTGTTTACACTTCCTCCGGGAGCAGAGTTCCGCATAGCTGCGCCATTTTGCCTGGATAGCAACCATAGTTACACGGTGAAGCCGCGTCGTGTTTTTGCAGGTGACCTGTTTAATCGACAAAGCGTGTCGCCGATCGCAAGTCGATGTCGAGACCGGTGAAAAATGTAAAAAAAAAAAACACCTGTTGTGGGCACTGGGCCATGGGAGTACACAAACCTGTTCAGTCTGTCCGTTAACGCAAATTGCAAAGATGTAGCGTAGTGCCAAATAACGTGCACCGCCGATGCTGCCACGTTGTGTGGCGCCAGCTATGGAGTATAAGCTACAACTGAAGTACACGAAAGATATGTCCTCCGAGATTTCGGGAGTGCATAGCTAAGACTACAGCATTGATTATTTCAGTATGTTTTTCGAAAACGGTGCCAAGTCCCCGTAAATACGTTTCTGTTGAAGCGTATGAAACTAAAGCAAATAGAAGCACCAGTTGGTAGCTAACGAGCTACAGAGCAGACGACGGTCACTTGACCGATTCGAGGTGGTTAGCAACCGCTATCAGCGGTGCGGCCATGTTTTCCGGGCGCGGCCTGTGCATGAGCTTCTCCGCGGTGCATGGTGGCTAGCAGCGATCCCAAAAAAGACACGCAACTCTGCTTCTTAAAGGTTGTATTTACCGTAAATCTAGCGCTACTCATCATGTAACGTCGAATCCCGACAACTTCCTGTATAAAGGCGAACTGCCCTACATTAAGACGCAATGCACGAACTGGCCCAAACAAAAGCGTTAGTTCTTTCGTTCGTGTAAAAGGAGCAGTATACCGAGTGCGCGGCTCCTACAGCGTAGTTGCCAACACTGGGCCAATTTATTTGCAGTAGCGGACGAAGACGTCTTCGACGAATGGAGCGAACTGGAAGCTGTGGTGTCGCCGCAGTCGTCGATCGTCACGGTGAGTCTACAATTTACAGGATTGGAACGACAAAAAGCGGGGTTTGTGAGTAAGGATTTGGTATAAAAGAAGACAAATCATGCAAGAATAGACACAAGCGGAGAACTCCAGACAACACTGGAGTGAAGTTTGAGTCGTCGCTTGCCACGTTCTTGTTGCAAATGCTATGCCCCGATCGTGGCATGCGTGCCGTTTGAAACAAGAAAGTGCTGGGTGTGTGGAATTGATGGAAATGTTTACAAGACATGTGGCATATATTTTAGAGCACAGCTCTGTGGTCCCCGTTCCTGAGTTCAGCGACGTTACATTAGTGTTGTGGGTGTAACCGATAGAGCAAAGAAGGGCGTAAGATTCATAATATTTGTTTGGATTTAACGTCCCAAAACTACCATATGATTGTGGTAGTGGCCATAGTCATCATCATCAGCCTGACTACGTCCACTGCAGGACAAAGGTCTCTCCCATGTTCCGCCAGTTAACCCAGTCCTGCATACACGTATGCATGTGGGAGGTGGTGGACAGATACTGCACCAAGGTGGCCAATCCTTCTCTGGTGAGGGAGTGCGTTCCCGGCGGTAATTACCGGTGAGGCCGCACCCCAGGCCTCGTAATGCTGTTCCATCACTACGCGGATTTTTTTTATCCGGTTGGCAACTGCGCGGCACCGGGATTTGAGCCACGGACCTTTTGCATGTGAGGCGGATGCTCTAACCACTACGCCATCGCTGCTCCTGGCCATAGTGGCCATAGTGGAGGGCTCAAAAAAATGTCAACCACCTGCTGTTCTTGAACGTACACCTAAATCTCAGCAGATGGACCTCAAGACATTTGGCTTAGAACATGAAGAAAGTGGCACAGCGGGCTAACGTATGCGTGGTGTTTTTAGCCCCTGAAAAAAGAAAGCTTAGGAAGTTGTTGTTATCGTGTGGGAAGTACTATATAGAGCAGAACAAGCGGTGTATTAATAGAAGGCCACGTGGACATGACTACAACGCAAGAAATAAACTTTCAGCGGGAGCGTTCATAGCAGCACACTGTAAAGGTTGTGGCTGCTCTCCTGATATGTACAGCTGCATTGTTAAAGAAGCTGGAGCTGCCCCGCCACGGTGCTCAAGTGGCTAAGGTACTCGGCTGCTGACGCGCAGGTCGCGGGATCAAATCCAGGCTGTGGCGGCTCCATTTCCGACGGAGGCGGAAATGTTGTAGGTCGATGTGCTCAGATTTGGTTGCACGTTAGAGAAACCCAGGTGGTCGAAATTTCCGGAGCCCCCCACACTACGGCGTCTCTCATAATCGTATGATGGTTTTGGGACTTTAAACCCCACTAATCAATTGAAGATGCTGAAGCTATCGCAGAAATGGGAAACTTGTGCGCGAGTTCACCATCAATTGCCCTGACGGATTAAGAAATGACGTTTCTTGGAATGACACCACGTGCTAGATGAGTTGTGTTTTTACGCATTTATAAGGTGGAAGTGAAGGGCATGAAATAAACAGTTGGAAGTTTAGCGCCTACCTTTCTATACTCGGCGACAACTTTTCCTGGCGTTGGAGCGAAGGCTACAGAACCAAATCGCGGGCATCCTACCTGCCAGGGAATGTACTTCCACAACAGCGCCCATATTTTGACCGTGAAAAAAAATAAAAGTCCCCCTTTTATTTTATACGTGAAGCTATTTGAGTCTGGACGCGCAGCTCACACATTAAGATAGTCGTATTTACTTTAACCAATTCGTTGTGGCTTCGCGTGTTTGAATGCGTGTGAAAGTCCCGCTTTTTTTTACGTGCACCTCAAACGCTAAGCGGCGTCTCCGTGTACATAAAACGCTTATGGTGCACCCCATCACTTTTCACAGCGTTACAAAATGCGCGCCAAAACGGGCTACTTCGCGTAGTGCTACATGTGCAAAAGCTCCGCCTCGGCAGCTTTCCCTTCAGTGCCAAGAAAAGTTGTCGCCGACTATTCGACCATTCCAAGTGACTATAGGCGGCGCAACGGTAGGTCGAAATGGCTGAAGAGACGGTGATGTCGCGAGCGTGCACGTTAGCGTCGCAAAGCGTGAAGACGCGTTCATAGTTTCCTGGCTACAGAGAGACCGAACTGCGTCACCAGATAATCACCGTGATAGCTTCGGAGCACAGCCGAATGGCGCCGCCTGCATTGCTGGAATGACCGAATAGACGTCTTTTCCCCTTTTCTTTTCGTATGTGCTGCGCTAATACAAGCTGAATTCAAGGGACCCTACTGAAACGTTCCGTATGATGCGGAGACCTCAAGTACGGAATTATTGGAATATGGAAGACGTATGATGCGGACTCCGCATTTTATGGAATGACGTATGATGCGGACTCCGCATTTTATGGAGAGACGTATGATGCGGACTGCGCATTTCATGGAAAGACGTATCATGCAGAAAAACTGAAATGTGTGCATGTTACGTCCGAATCTAGTGCAAAGCAATATAATGTGTAAATTGAATAGACGTTCACATCTTGAGTACATGCAATACTGTGTACAAATCACAATATTTCTTAAATATGCATGATGAGGGATTGAATCATCGGCATCTTTCTAATTGTCGTGATGCGGAAGCAAAATTAGCTCTCTAATAAAATACGTTACAGAGCTACTAAATTAACATTGGTTCGAACACATGGTTCAAACCATGTGTAGATAAAAGAGGTTTGATGTAGATGCGAAGCATCGGGCGCTAACGCTTACATGGGCGGCGACGTTGACGTTAACGCTCATCGCGGTGTTTTTCAGGATGAAACCTGGGAAGGCGCAAAGCACGCAATGATGGAGCGATGTTTCCCTCTGGGACATGTCAATTTCTACTAATGGGCAGCGAGAGACAGAAGACTCTGATTAGAGACAGAGACCCGCAGTCCGCTTTTAGTTAGCATGCATGCTGCGAATTTTTATTGTTCAACGACGCACATGAGAAATCTCCCACCGGCACTATTTATTTTTTATTTATTTACAGATACTGTCGGTCCACACCAGGACCAAAACAGGAGTGGTAACAATACATAAACATACAGGAAGCAGTCAAAAGAATAATAGAGTACAGCGATACAGTGATATACGCCCTATTGTTGTAAATATTTGGACACAAGCGCAGAAAACTGGTCACGAGTTCCTGCGTTTACAACGTTTGCAGGGAGATAATTCCAGTCACGTGCTTTCGAAAGGAAGAATGAGTATTTGTAGCAATTCTTGTGAAATCTATTTTCCTTAGCGTGCTTGCTATGTTTGTTTCGCACTATACGGGTCTTAGATTCATTCATGTAGGGAGACTTATCAACAAGTAGGAGCTCATTAATTATTAATAAATAGAAAAAAAGCTATGTCTACCTTGGAGCTCAAGATGTGGGGCGGCCACTGAACTGTTGTGCATCGCGAGCAGTTGTTTTTTTTAAATCAGGAAACTCGATAACAGACGACGCCTGCGTCAGCGTTGCGAGGCGAGAAAGAGGGAGGGGAGCCGCATGCGCAATGGCCGCGTAAACGCTGCCGGAAGAAGTACCTAGAGGAGAGAGAGAGAGCGAGCGTAGGTTTCCAGATGCTCCCTGCGTCGGCTGCGAGAGAGAGAGGGTGAGGCATAGGATAGGGGAGGGGACGCGCATGCGCACCGGGGGTGGTAATGCCACTGGGAGGGATGCCTAGGGAAAAAGAGGGGAGCGAGCGCAATGAGGTGGTTGGAGAGAAGTGGAGAGAGTAACGCGCATCTGTTTGAGGGAGGCAAGGAGGAGAGGTGCGCATGCGTAGTGTGAGTGCGGACACCACCGACGCCGCGGTACATAGGCCCGAGAAAGAAACGCTCCGCATCTGAAACTTCCCAGTGGCGCTTCACCTGTGAACGGCTGCCACGATTGGGGGTTCCCGCTGTAACCACAAGAACTTTCTCTGCCAACGTAAAGGCCGCACACATTAGGAAAGGTTCATTGTTCTTGGCTAAAACATTGGGTTTGGCTGAGCAGCAATGTCAGATTCCCCGATGAGATTTACAGGATGTTTCTGACCTAAAGCAGAGACACGAACATGTCTACATGGGAAAGTCTACCGACTCAAACCCCTCCGTAAAATTATACTGCAGTATGCTTTCACGGATGGGTTCGAGTGTTGGGTTGATAATTTTTGTGTTCTGTACGTTTAAAAGCTAAACAAACCGTGTTACAGTAGATGCATACACATTAAAACGATTGAGTTTGTGCAAACGATGTCTCATGACCTTACTAATGCACATCGAAATCTACAAAAACAATAAAGCAACAGCTTAACATCTCGAAACGGTGGCGCACACATGCTTAGTTGAGATAGTCTATATGCGGCCTTTTCTGCCCTGCAGCCACCGACTCAGCTGACGAACGCCACCTGTCCCGCATTCGAGGATGGCCCGTCCGGCAATGTGAGTGATGTTTGCATCGATTCTACGCCACCGCAAATCTTTAACGATAGTGAGTGATTGTTGACCTCGGGATACGGTTGTTCCTAGTATCTGCGAGAAGCAGCGAGGTCGGTGATATTACGATCAGCGTAGCAATGGCTTTCCGAATACGTTATCGCACAGACAAGGCTGATATAGTGAATGCATCTTTGAGTAAAGAGCGTAACAGATAGCGGGCACTCCCATGTGCTCTTAGCGCTTGCGTATCATGTTGAAAATGTTGTCACTTCTCACATTTGTTAGGCGTTATCTTGTACAGGAACCAACACTCGCTTAAAATCTTCACCGACACTCACCGCTATGGCTAGTAGTGGCACTTGCTAACATCTCTAGGTTTAAATACACATGTATACCGCACAAAGTGGACGGGGCTGGGCGTAGGGGATAATCGCCGCTGTAGCTCAGTCGGTAGAGCATCGACAGGGTTAATAGAAGGTCGCAGGTACGGACTCCGCCAGCGGCAAGCTTTTTTTTTCACCCACTTTTGTTATTTCACGTTTACATTGCATGATTACTAATAAGATTATCTATAGTTGGCTTGGATTTTTTGTCTGTTGTAACTAATATTGCATCTGAGAAAAGGAAAAAAAATCACCATCCTTCACTCAATTCTTGAGGCAGTTCAAAGACGTGTTGGATCGAGAAAGTTTTCGAGAGAGAACCAATAGGCTGGACTCCGAAGAAAAAAAAAAAAGGTGGCCCATACCTTCCTATAGACTCGGGAAGACGCACGAAGGACAGCGCGATTTTGGTTATTATATTTTATACCCATGTTTACGGCAAGGGGCGGCAGTTAACACCACAGTTTCACAATCTGTACACACTGTTCAATTTCTCTTGATTCACAGGAGCCCGAGTTCAAGTCTCTTCTGGTCAGACTCGTGGTAAGCGTCATCTACATTCGTTTGTTGCTCTGATTGTAACCCGAGTTAACGAAAAGCACTTAAGCTAAGTTATAGAATGGTGGCCCGACACACGGGATATTGCAGTTTTCTCCCCCTCCGCATGACAATAAAATACAGGCAGCGTGAATGCATCTGGAGTCTCACCGTAGGAAATGGTTTAATGAGCAAGTGTTCTTCCATTGACAAACCGGGACACTGACTTACCGTGATACACCTTAGCCTGGTGGACAAGACACTGGGCAAAGGTAGCACGTAGATGCAGCATGGCCTCGTGTTTTGTTGTATACTTCAGTGTAATAAAGGGACTGTATAACGATAGCACAGCGAGACATTGGGCTAATTGGCTTTGCACGATTAAAATACTGCGCTACAGTTTACGGGACAAAAGAAGTCGGGGAGGACGCGCGTTACGATGTGGACACTTCACGTGCTTTCCTGAGGGGAAAAAAATGGGGGGGGTAAACAAGCATTTGTAGAAAGTGCAGTCAAGATGAGAAAGAAACCGCTCTTTTGCCTTTGTACTAGATGTGATTTAGGTGCTCTTTGAAATGGTTTTCGCTCACCGTCTTTGAAGCAGCAGGCCAGTTTCACTACCCTTTGTTTCCTCCTCATCCATACAGCTGCTGCTAATCGAACTGGTGAGCATGAGCCTGGTGATGGCCGTCCGAAACCGCGTGCTTCCCAGCTACGAGCGCCTCCACGAACTGGCCACGTCGCTCCTCTGATAACGTGGCACCCTGCTATCTCACGCTACGGGCTATATACTGCATCCTTATCAGTCCGTTGCTCCATCCTTTTTCCATGACCTCCTAATCTTCTATGCTTCCCGCAACTCCCCTGTCGGAGATCATCCCTTCCCTGGAACATCGAAACTGCTGTGTTCGTGCACCTAATCTCGCATTACCGGCTTGTGTATTGTCTTATCGGTTTCATCGTCATCATCCGCGCGCCATTCTTCAGCTTATCTCGTGCCACAGGGCTCCACTGTGTTGAAGACTCGTCACGTCTTAGAAGCCGATACAACACCTATGTGTGTGTGTGAACACTGCTTCTTTAACCTCTGAGACACCAAAAGTTTACCGAAGAAACTGGACTGGTACTGGTGTACATGCACCGCGTAGTTGTTGGGAAATCAACAACAGCGAGTTTTAAGTGATGTCACAAGACTGCTTTGGCGTGGAAGTCAAGGACTCGAACGAATCGTTCCCTGGTATAAAAAAAGCCAAAGAAAAATTGAATAATAATTGATTCAACCTCGTTCATTCTATGAGCGGATTTTTTTAAAGCTTGATGTGAACAAATGTAGCCGGGGAGCTTTGCCGATACATTTCCTATACTAACAACAGGTGCTATCCGATTGGTTCGATAATGCATGCAAACAAAAAGAGTGGTTAATAATTATCTCTTGATGCTGAGTACGCATGCGAGCGAAAATGCGCAATTTCCTGCCGTCTGAAAAATTTCTTCGAATTTCAGGGGACGAGGGTTGAAATTCTGGCCAAATTTCGTAGTGTATTACAGGCACAGTTTGGTAGTTCTGTCCTCCTGATGCGGTTCCGAAGCATTGGAATACCCATTGTGTGATATGGTTTAGGTTGCACTCGAAAGAATGCTTTTGGTGGCTCAGCGGTAGAGCCATAGATGACGTGTTACGTGACGCCCAACAGCCAAAAGAAAAGAGTGTTCCACAATCGCCGTAGAAACGATGTGTTGTAGGAACTAATCGCTGATTCCATGGTCATGATGCATGACTGCACTTTACAAAGAACACCGTGAGAGCACAGTGGTAAATATAAAAGGCGTATTTTTAAAACTTACAAAGCATGTTACCGAGCTGCAATGAAAATAAAAAAAAAGAAAAAAAAGACCCCTGTGCAACGGATAGCGTGCCCAGTGTTTGTTGTCGCGGACCCAGAAGTGACAGGTTCGAGTCCATTTCACAAAAATTTGTGTGCTGATCATTCATATTTTTCGGCGTCACTTCCGTGACGGAAATGTGTTACTGAAGCCTTGGTCTACTCCGGCGTAAAACGCTTTCGTGTTTAAAACACGATGTTCATTATGCATTATTGACACTGCACTGTTCCCTCCGAAGGCAGAGAGCATGTTTATGGATTGTAGGTTGTGATTAAAATGGTATTCCATTGATGTGGGCCTTTCCTTTTTACGCATATCAATACCTGTGTTTTCTTTTGCACTAAGCGTTATGTGTACGATGTATGCCTAGCTTTCTGGGCATGCCTTTTTATACGTACTGCGCAGCAGTAATTATGGAATCAACAGTCAAAAGTTCGCGCTCCCCTTGAAGCTTCCCCTCGTTATATCTTTGCGCGAAAGTTTGCGCTTGCCTTGAACGCTCTCCTCGGTATTTGATTGCACGAAATGGCTGCATCTGTGGCCTATAATTGAGCATGAACCGACTGCCCCAGCGAGGCGCCCTTCTAGACCTCAAAGGTTCAGTCTAGAGTTTTTCACCGGTAATCAAGCCAGCCACAGTAAAAGAAAAACCTTCTATTGATGATTGATTGATATGTGCAGTTTAACGTCCCAAAACCAACACATAACTATGAGAGACGTGGTAGTGTAGGGTTCCGGATATTTCGACCACCTGCGGTTCTTTAACGCGCACCCAAATCTGAGAACATGGGCCTACAACATTTTCGCCTCCATTGAAAATACAGTCACCGCAGCTGGGATTCGATCCCGCGACCTGCTGGTGAAAAACCTTGTATGCACGACAACACGTAAAAAACGCTATAGGGATATCGTAAGCCTAGTGAGTACTCTAATCAGGAGTGCATACTTTTATTGCGTATTACTCAGGAAGTTTAAATTGTGGATTTTTTCAGTGCGTCTCAGCCGGGGTTGAAACCGCGAGCGATTGCGGCACATCAACGGAGCGCCGCAGTGATGTTTCATTACGGCGGATTTGAGAGGTGCGAGTTAAAGGAAAACAAACACATACACAACGAGACATTCTTTCTTGTTGCAACGGATTCAAGAAAAAGACGGCCTGACAACAGTTAAAGCAACAACTGCAAATATGACTGGATTAATTATTTGCCCATGTTCATCGCATAATGGCAAGTCTTTCCTGCAATAGGGTTGCAGTTCAAGAGTGGAATCAAGGTGTATACGCGACAACGCGGCTGCATTGAAAGCGTTCTGGGCCACTTCAGTTCAGCAGTTTAGGCACTTCTAGAACATTCTGAGCCTATCATGGTCCATCCTTCTGTTTTGCTTGTGTCTTTGATTTTGTTCCTCCCCAGTATGGCGGGCGCAGATCTCGCCGATAAGACGGCGACGAACGATATCGTGACGTAACGACGCGATCAGTTCTGACTGCAACAACCCATGCGCGAATAGCGAAGTTACACGTGGGCGGATGACCTCAATTGTCCACTCGCTACTCGTCATGCTGCGCATTTTGCAGACGGCAGTTTTTCAGCGCCATGGAATGGTGATTTCCATGAAGTTAGTGCGCGGGGCGCGCGATAGTAACAGTACGTACTATCGGCGTCAAATGAAATCCGAACAGCGGAGTGCGTGTTTCAAGCATTAGAAACAGTATAGTGTTGGCCGTCCAGTGATCACCATCGACAGGCGTGCACATCCGGTTTGGAAGCACTGCACGATACCCCTACACTGCGTTATCTCCGTTTCTGCTCTAGTTCTCGTATGGTGGTAATGGTGACCATCGTGGACGTGCCAAGCGCTTTTGATCGTATCAGTCGCAATTCCTTGCTTTTACTTCAGCGTCGCAGTGCAATCGGTGTTTTGGCACGATAAAACAAAAAGAGAAATATAATCGGTTCGCGGTTGATTTTCAAACGATTGTCGCATCTCATTTGCCAGCGCTGCTTCACCTGCAAGGACACCCTTCTTTCAGAGACCGACCCGAAAACGCGTCACTTTAACTGAAAATGCCGAGCGTTTCTTTGGAAGAGAGAGCGCAAATTGTTTCGCTCTGCCGGTACGAAGTGGAACAGCGTGAAATTGTCAGCATTATGAGCCGACTTTTGTCTACTATAAATAGAATTAGCCAGGAATTCCATGATGATGGACTCCGTGTTGACAAACCGTGCTACAATACTCGCCTTCGGCTGCAGTAGTTTAACCTCTGTTTTTTTATTGTGTTCCTTTCAATTACCATACCTGGAACACAAGCAGAAATATTGCACTATAGGGGGATCGCGCAGTGCTGCCATACCGGATGTGCGGGCCTGTCTCTGCCAATGACTGGTCGACAGCACACACTATGCCATTGATAACGCTTGTGCTACGTGCTCCGCTGTTCGCGTTTCACTTGATGCCGACAGTACCTACGAGTCGCGTTTGAACTTTTCATCATGTGTTTATGCACTTGACCTGGACGTATGGAAATACGCACAAGGGACCATGCACGTCGCCGGGAATTCCTCGAGGACCACTGCGAGCTTTGTCTTCGACATCGAATCGGTGAGCTCCATAATGTGATAAGCCGGCGGGGGGTGGGGGCGTGTTCATTGAACATCACTCGCTAATAGCTTAGTTCAAGGGGCATTTATTTATTTATTTATTTATATACCTTAAGGGCCTCTAGGGAATTACATAAGGGGGGCTTCATACAGCACTCAGTGACAACAGCAATTTTTCGACAAGAAAAGAAGACAAAAAACAAGAAAACATGCGCAGGCTACACAGTCCGTCAACCAAGATAAGCAAGAAATAGCACAGCAAGGTTTTCACAAGCGAGCACATTGAAAAAGCTGCACGACACATTCAAGGCTAGGTTGCGTGTAACTTTAGCAGGTGGGTTCCTTGAACACGCCGCTACTTCATGGTCACTATTCCCGGGGGGACAGACGGGTAGGCTCAGCTCGCGGTTAGTTAGGCAGGTAAGCCAGGTAGCTTTTTGTGTCCTCGGGATTATTGCACCTAACGAACTGGACGGCCCGTGAAGCCAGTGCATGCCATTATTTCGTGCCAGTCTTTTCCGGTACGTAAATACGTGGTTATCGCGGGCCGTGACACGTGGCAGGCCGGTTCAGCTTGCCGGCTTGTCGAAGACTGGCGTTCGAATGTGAAGCGGTTCAAGCACTTCTTCTGCACGTCGCGTCGGCGGCCTGCTGTGGGCGGAGCGCAGGTGGGTTAACCCTATAACCATTCACTCGTGTTTTGGGTGTGTCTTCTGCCGTGTTAACCATTGCCCTGTTATTTTGTTTTTTAGCACAGACTTGGCTCGTCGAGCGGCCATGGCTGCGCTAAAGCGTTACTAGTAAGTCTGCGTTTACTTACGCGTGAAATGTCATCGTCTAACAAGTTCTGCTTTCGTTCCAGGAGCGCTGAACGACGTACGTATACTCGCGCGCCCCGCGCCACACCGTCGTATCTTCCGCACTATCACCGACGACGTCTTTGGCGGACGTGCTACCGCCGCTGCATCGAGTAAGCATGACTTTACTATTCCCATGAGTGGAACAGTGTGTATATATTAAACGTGAAGGGCCGACTTGATTCAAGCCTTGTTAATCTCGTTCATATGCTTCTCTGAAGGGTTAGTGCGGGCTTCTGTAGTGAAGTGGCGTCGCACTCGTTGCTTTAACATAACTATAGCGCATGGGCTCTGCTTGCGATTACTGTTGCCGCGTCTCTGTTAGGCGCATTTAGTTGAGTCTTTCAGCGTGGGGGTGCTGCGTGATGCTTTGTAATTTAAACGCACGTGGCAGCTAGTAAGCAATTTAAGGCCGTGCGGGTGCGTGTGGCAGTTTGTAAAATATGCTAATGTGCCTATTTTCTATGTGCTGGTCTGTTACTGTACTATCGGCATCAAATGAAACGCGAACAGCGGAGCGCTTGGCACAAGCCTTATCAATGGCATAGTGCGCGCCATCCACCAGTCAATGACCCAGACAGGCCCGCACATCCGGTGTGGCAGCACTTCACGGTCCCCCTATAGTGCAATATTTCTGCTTGTGTTCCAGGTATGGTATTTGAAAGGAACAAAATAATAAAAAAAACAGAGGTTAAACTACTGCAGCCGAAGGCGAGTATTGTATAGCACGTTTTTTCTTCACGGAGTCAATCATCACGGAACGCCTGGCAAATTCTATTTATAGTAGACAAAGGTAAATTCATAATGCTGGCAATTTTACGCTGTTTCATTTGGTGGCGGTAAAGCGAAACAATTTGCGCGCTCTCTTTCGAAGAAACACTCGGCATTTTCAGTTAAAATGAAGCCTTTTCGGGTCGTTCTCTGAAAGAAAGGTGTAGGTGAAGCAGCACTGGCGAACTAGATACGACAGTCGTTTGAAAGTCAACCGCAAACCGATTATATTTCTCTTTTCGTTTTATCGTGCCAAGACACCGATTGATCTGCGACGCTGCAGTAAAAGCAAAGAATTGCGAGGGATACGACCAAAAGTGCTCGGCGCGCCCGCAATTACCACCATTGTCACCATACGAAAAATAGAGCAGAAACGGAGATATAACGCACTGTAGGGGGATCGCGCAGTGCTGCCAAACCGGATGTGCACGCCTGTCAATGGTGATGACTGGACGGCCAACACTATGCTGTTTCTAATGCTTGAAACACGTGCTCCGCTGTTCGGTTTTCATTTGACGCCGATGGTACAGTTGCGTTTACTCACTGGTTCGCTGCGGAGGTAACCATGCTACTCGTGGCCTTAGTTGTGCTTAAATTGGGATACGCTTTTGTGATCTTCACATTGAGCAGGCCTAATTTTCTCAGTTATGTTAGAATGAATTTCTCGCTCCATCGTTGTGCACATATATGCTAAAGGTAATGTGTCAGAAGCTGGGTCTGAAATGTCGACTGATCCTCTGAATTTGTGGCAGATGTGTGTTTTGAGCTGTTATCGTAGGTTTTAACTATGGTCTGTGTAACATAGGACAACACGCCCTTAAGTTCCCTCTCCTTTTGCTCATAAGAGTCGTGTTTTGGTTGACTAAATGCCTTATGGGAGCGTCAGATTATTCGTCAGCTGACAGTTCGTGAAAAAGATCACGAGTTTTTTATGCCAGCAGGCAGAAAAGTTTTCAACACTTGCAGTGGCGGTTCAACCGGTGGCGCTAACACCCCCATGTTTAAATGCATGTAAATATACACCCCGTAATGTGAACGAGGGAATTACCTCTGTTGTAGCGCAGTGGGTAAAGCATTGAACGCATTATTCGAGGGCCACAGGTCCGGCCCCTGCTCGTGGGACAATGTAGTTTCGTCCACTCTTTTTGGAGATTTACGTCGTAATTGCTGCAAATAAAATCTCTATACTTTTCTTGGCGGTTAGTTCCATGTTGTGCCTAACAGTCCTTAATTTTCCCCTTTCGTTCATTGTCAGACTACGTTTTTGGCGGCTTTTATTCCTTCAACACCCTTCATGTACGAATTGCGATCAACTGTCCTCAAATGTTCAATTTGCCCAATTTTTTCTGAGGCATTCGATATTAAGTTCCAAGAGAAAAAAAAGAACGAGTGTCCGGAGTTCCACATTCACACTAATGCACATTTAAATGTTTAATATCTCAGCAGTGCGCCATGTTTCCTTTTTACATGAATCATAAAATGAAGATACATGTGCAATTTATATTTAGTTTTAAAACTAAACTAACCATACTTTTTACCTTCTCCGTACAACGTGGCCTGCTTGCAGAGCCATTGAACGTCATGCCCTCATTGAATTAGTTGGCTGCAGTCTTGCGCAACCTAAAAGACAGTAATGCCGAAAGCAATTTTTGATTGGGTAGTACCGAAATCATGAATGTCTTGACTTTTCTTGTGTACGTATTTGCATAGCTAATCATTTCACACACCTACCAACTAGCTCGGCTCTGCAAATTCTATCTAGATCATGTACACCACACTCATGAACCAGCAAAACGCAATTTGCGTCCTAATGTGTGCAATGCCCATAACGAATTCAACGTGTTAGTGAGGTAATTGAGAGTTCATTAGTTAATTGGCTTCTTCCCAGGAGCGCTGCCTTCTCGCACACTTTGGGTCAGAAGATCGCCTGGTGGGGATCCTCATGGCACTTCCTCAAGTAAGCACTTTGTCATGTCTTCAAAAGCTATATTGAACGAAAGAATCTTGCTGCTGGCAGATTTAACTGCCACATTCGTTTTCTGAAAAAGCTACCATCGGCTTGTTGCACTGTTACACCAAACGCCCACCACCGAGACATAACAGCTGGGGCGTTGGGCAGATGCGAGTTAATACACAACTGCTATTGTTCCAGCATGCGAGCTTCATTGGCTGCTTGGCAATATCTTGCGAGTGTACACGTAAACTTGTGTCAATGGAAGTGTCATCATTAGTGGTGCAAGTGAGAACATGCGGGCTCACGGCACTCCTCAAACCAGACGGCTGCAGATTCGTGCTGGCCACTATCGGAAACGCACTGGAAAAGGTGCTGCGGTTTCGGTAAATGACTGTCTAGAGAAAAAAAAATTCCATCGGATTGCGGGACCCTCGCAAATACAAGACCGCCATGCTTAGCAAAATATAGAAGTGTGCTGTCAGTAGCTCTGCGCAAAATAGCGGAGAACAGTCGTGTGAACGTGTGTGCAACAGAGATGTGATACAGCCATAGACTTCACAAAGAAGCACCTTGTTATGCATTAGTGCTGTGGTTTGGGGCGCAACATCAAATGCTTGTCGCAGTTCCCTCGTTCTAAAGACACTTGTGGGTGGAACCACAATTCACGAGTCGCCCTTTTCAAGAGGAATTCCAGGCTATTACCACACGCGTTTGTGTTCAGTATCGCAGTCTCTTGTGCATGTTGAGGCCAGCAAAGTGGATCGTATGTCATTACAGGTGTGGCAGCATGGCCTACTTAAGTCTGCGTTTGCGTCAGAAAAACCGACATCTACGGATCACCATAGCACTTCCCCTTTGGCGCTAAACACGCTTTCCTGGTTGACATTCTCTGAACACTGCTTTGTGTAAGTCTCTCGTACTTCCAAAAATACGCTGAACGAATGTGGGAATATGCTTCAGCGGAGTGTAATGTTCGGCAGACGGTGTAGCTTAACGCAGTGCATAGCAGACAGTGCGTAACTGAATTTAGATTTGAAGTGCAAACAGAACAAGTGAAAAGATGATGGGACAAGATGTCACCGTCATATCTAGTGTTCACTCATTTCTCGTTCTCCATTTGCAGTGCAAAATTTTTTTTTGAAGAGGCCGTGACACTACGACTGCTTCAACTTTGCTTCAAGACGATGAACTGTTCCGTGCAGCTAATGTTTTACAAGTCGTGGAAAATAGTGGTTGCTGAGGGCAGTACGATTCTTATCTGGCATATCACTTAAAGTACTTGATATAGCTAGGAAACGGGACATTTTTCGTCTGTTTCCAGGCTATAGCCAGCATATAACCAGTACCTGATGACAGGTATAATGCTTTATATACTGCAACTTCAGGGCTCATGTTGCACTGAAGCATTTTACAATCCAATTTTCACAAAGCACAAGCACAATAGAATCTGAGCTTGTGTTTTGATAAAAACCACCAATTGTTTGGTTAGTGTCTTGGGCCTCTTTTCAGACCAGCAGAAGTGGATTTTACAACTTTGTACACTCTTCGACTTGGTTCACGTGGGGCTTCGCTGATACATGCCGGCTTTTCATGGCACTTCCACCAAGTGGCTTTGTAGCTATGACAATGTGCCCATCAGCATTAAATCGAAAACCACAGTGGCTGCATTTAGCTGGGACCAACATGCAGACACTTCTGTAGTTGTAAATGGAGATGCTTATTAGGAACTTCACTTTGTAAAATAGCTCGAAATCCAGCATGCTTGTCAATTTGCCGTAGTTCTGATTAACAATATTCAATTTTATTATTTCTTCTTGGCAACAACGGGACATCTCTGTATGCAGCTTTCCGAAGGGGCGGTAACATCTGGACCATACTCTACAAAACTAGGAACCATTGTCACGGAGGTGCGCAGTCGGCGATCCCTCGGGGACTGCTAAATCAGTCATCGTTGCGATGAGCTTGGTGAGTGGCGCAAACTTGATAGCTAAGTGAGCCAATTATAGGCTAGGGTTGTTGCCTGCCTGCAGTATATAGCCACTTGCCGTAATTTTCTAATACTGCCAAACTTTTCAGTTTGCACGGTAAATCGGCATGATTTCCAGTGTTTGTAGCCTCTCCTCGCTCAATGAGCTTCCACATATGCTCGAGATACTTACGTACAAAGTGCATTGTAACATTTTCTCTGCCAGACTCATTGTCTACAAGTGCCTAAAATTTATTTTAATGCAAAGGTTCTGGACACGAATATTAACGGAAGTGGAAGTGTTAAAATGCACTACTGTATTTGACAGCTATTACAATATAAATGCGATCATTGTAGTAATAAGCCTAGATTTCTTTACATACTTGATTAAGTGAATCGTAAAAATATATCAAATAGTTGTATGCTGGCAGCGAGCATTTCCAAGGTAAAAAAAATCTTGAAACGCCTGCAAAAAAGGCCCACGTCAAACATCTTGTTCAACATTGCACTACCTTCTCCCAAGCATCTGGATGTAGCAAACTATTCACTAACAAAAATGCCTAATTTACCAATAGCTAAAAGTTTGTGGTCGCTTTCATGTCTATAGTGCACATAAGTCGCCAAGTGAGGGTGCTCTCGCAGTGGGTGATATGCCCGTTATATCCACCTTGAGTATGTTGCGTATATTGGCAAAACGGGTGCACCACGTCTTGCCTTGATGGATAAGTGGATGGTCAATCCTTGCAGCTCTGCATCTGATGCACGCAATGGACGGCCCCGCGAATTCCTGGTGCATTTTGTCCAGTCTTCGCTACACCGGCGATGAAATCTCTGGTAGATTGTCACTCGGCTGATGTTCTGCCGGCTCGAGCCCACTGCGTTGTCTTGGTCGATGTTTGCCCGGCAATCCACATCGACTTCTGTGAGTGAATTCACGTCTAATACAGAGGTGAGCGAAGTAAAAGCACAGGCTCGTGACTCCATTTATGGTGAAAAGCACACACAGGCTAACGCAGGAGCTTACATATACAAAATATTAAACATTCGTAAAGAGCGATAAAAAAGTGCGAAGGTCGCGGGATCGAATCCCTGCTCGATGGAGGTGAAAATGCTGTAAGTTCTTGTGCTCAGATTCAGGTGCATGTTAAAGAATCTCAGGTGGTCAAAGTTTTTGGAGCTCTCAACTACGGAGTCTCTCATAATCATATGGTGGTTTCGGGACGTCGAACCCCACATATCAGTCGATAGAAAAAAAATGTGCACAGAGGGAATAAAATCTACCGTATGCTGCAGAAACTGCAAAACGATCAAGTAGTACCAAATCTTTGTTAGGTTCGTTCATACAAGGCTCGATTTCATTCGTAAATCTCTCCTTGAGAGAGAAGTTTCAGCTCTTTGTCATCTCTATTTCAGGGACAAACTTAATCTGTTTGTCAGACCATGCAGAAACCAATAAACGGGGTCAATTCAGTGCTTGTCTTCTGTAAGGATTTCCATAATTCTTACCGATCGTCGCTCAGTTTTCTATACCATTAAAAGAATTCAAATGCGGCACTATAGAGCCGCAGAATGCACAAACTTCAGTTTGCAGTCTACAATTTTCGCCATATTGGTGAGAGTTTGATGCGAGCGCTCGCTTCAGAGCTATCATTACTGGACATGCGAGAACAGTAAACTTTAGGTTCCAGGCAAGTAGTGATGTAGAAGAATTTTGAAGTGGATTCGAAAATTACACATATTCAGCATATTATAAATAAATATAGCATGTTCACGGAGTAAATCATGATGGCGGCGAAGCATCCGTCAGTCTCTCTGCCTCTAATGCTAGCACCATGCCACTAAAACCACTAACGCCATCCAGTGATAATATTTTGAAGGACATGTACACACAATGAAATTAATCTATTGAGCAGTTCATAAACTAGAGGTGACTACATACAGCTAGGAGGAAACGATCCACACCATAAGGAGCTTCTCCCCTAAAATAATGAACGTAATGTCGTGAATCAATCAACCAGCACGATACTTTATTGAAGTAAGGCATGTGCAAATGTCTGTATTTTGAGTTCAAAAGAAACTGGAAGCAACTTGCCTTCGCGATGGAATAGTGCGCGCCGTCCTCTTATCACCATGGACAGACATGCATAAATGTGCAGAGCCGCCGAACAGAATGCGCGCGCCCGTCAATGGTGATAACGGGATGGTGCCCAATATACCATCGCGAAGGCTTGCCGCTTTTCGGGTTTCATTTGACGCGGATAGCACATCAAGCTTTAAAACTTGCTATACTCCTAGCATGTAAACCAGTGTAACAAGCTTTTGAACGATGAATTGATGGACGATAATACGCCCATTTAACCTTGACGTGGGGCTTCAGGGAAGTGTACATTCCTCTTATATGTATTAACTGTACCGCAACCCTTCACTGCAGTGAAACTGCCTTTAAAAGGGGTCAGGTGATGCTGTTGGTCTTTTGTCCATTTCAAATACTTCCAAGTCACTTGGACATGAGTTTCATTTCGAAGTTTTGAATAAAATATTCCTTCAAATATCGACGTCCCCCACATTCCAGTTAAGCCCCGCCCCGGTGGTCTAGTGATTCAGGTACTCGGCTACTGACCCGCAGGTCGCGGGTTAGAATCCCGGCTGCGGCGTCTGCATTTCCGATGGAGGCAGAAATGTTGTAGGCCCGTGTGCTCAGATTTGGGTGCACGTTAAAGAACCCCAGGTGGTCGAAATTTCCGGAGCCCTCCACTACGGCGTCTCTCATAATCATATGGTGGTTTCGGGACATTAAACCCCACATACCAATCAATCAATCAGTTAATCAATCAATTAACCAATCATTTGATCAATTAAATAATCAATTAATCAATTAAATAATCAATCAATCAATCAATCACGTTCCAGTTAAGGCACATGTCTAAACATTACCTGTAGGGACCAGATTCTTGATGGAATGATGTTGTATCTCGATGTTGTTAATACCAGTCACACTAGCGATTTCAGTGCCCTTTCAATGACACTCGACCTGTCATAAATGACACTCGACCTGTCATAAACCTGTCATAAATGTGGCTCAATTTTGCTTCCAGCCTGCTAATTTTTGCACCCGACACATGCAAGTGACGAGCCTGCAGGTTCATATGTCATCCAGCCCTTCCTGCAAGATGTCCTCGGTCGACCGTTCCGCAGCAGGCAGTCTATCTTCATGCCAGCGGCCTTGTTTCTATGAACCTTTGCGTGAAGATCCGCAGTGATTCGCGTAAGCAAATGCACTTCATTGAGTAACAAGGGTTGAACAATTGTGGACTAAGCAATTTCGAGTTCGTGCCATGTTGGCATAATTTCGATGCGAGCACTCGAGTTAGCGCTGCCTTTATCAGACTGGTTCACAGTGGCATTAAATGGTTTTCTAGAGCACTTGTGCTTTAACGCGATATCTTTAAAGAGCTCGTTGAGAACATAAAGACGAAGCTTAAGGATGCCGGAATTTTTCAGAAACTGCTAGTTTTAATCTCTTTGAAACGAGAAAAAAATTGACAGCAGCACTCAAAGTAGGACTGGTAACCTGTTCTCTTTAGTCTATTAAAGGAAGATATTCAAGATGGCACAACTTGCATTATAGAGAGAACGCCTCAGCCTGTTTGCAAAAAAGATTTGGCAATCGAGGGCACTACGAAGGGCAACTTACAACGGAGCTTTATCTTATAGTGAATGTAATGCTGCAATTGTAGCTTGTTTAACTCACATTTCAAACTTATCTACTCAGGATAACTGTAAACTATCTGTCTTGCGATGTGTGACTATAATTGTGTCACTGTGTGAAGGGGTCGTGCTCTAAACTAGGTGTTAAAACTAGATAAGTGTATCATCAACCCAGTGCATTGGTAAAATAAGGGCGCCATGTGTCGCATTGATTTCCGAGTGGCCTTTTCTTTCTAGCTTCGCGACCTCTGAATCTGGCACTTTCAAAGAACAAGCTCTGGTCCATCGCTTCGCCCACCCTTTGCTCCATAATTTGGCGGCGTCGAAGTACCTTCACAGAAGTAATGGACCTCTCTCCTTGGCGTCTTTCAGTGATGTGGGTAAGTACTGTTTTTTTTGGTGACTGCTTTTGCAGGTTCTGTTTGCGTATGGCTAAGCATTGCTGAGCCTTCGTGTAACGAAATACTCTGCAACATTAGGGACCATAATCTCCTGGGATTTCGTCTTGCCAGGTATTGTTAAGAAAGCAGCGGAAGTTTTGTAGTGTGTACAAGCACATTTACGAGGCACTGTGGTGTGGATGAATTATGGGGCTGAAGCTATGTCCGAGAAGCGTGAGTGTCGGCAGTAAGATGACCATGTGTTTGTACACCTGTATTCGCTTTCCCACATAACTACGAACTTTGTACACTGTCATAAATATGATAAACGAATTTACTGATCTGACATATTAGAATTCCCGGTGTTCTCGCACACACAGAACTGCGAAGGAAAATTCCACGCTGTGATTCCTCCCTGAATACGGGAGCCATGAGTATCGGTGACTGACAGCCCATAAAAAGGTTGGAACACCATCAGCACTTGCCTTTCGCACTTCTCTTGAGCTTCCAGGCTTCTCTTGATTTCATCATAGCCAATAAAGCTTTGACGCAGTCCTTCAGTGCACCAAGCAAACGTTTTTCCTGTTTACAAAGCTCAAGAGAAGCATGAAAGGTCAGTTTTGACTGCATTCGCAGCACTTAACATTCGCAGCACTAACTGTGACGATGGGCGCATTTATATCCACTTGGCTACGTATCTCTATACATTACAAGAAAATTACTCACACCAAGGGAAAAAAAACGCGAATGGAAAGAGCGTGAAATCGCAACTGAATTTGTTGCCAACCTGCTGCCAGGGCTGGGCAAAGATACTGTGAAATCGTGATACAAGATACACAAAGTATTGGTGATACAGATACAAGATACTGCAGCAAAAATTGTATCCGATACGGTAGTTGCCAAATGTATCTTAAGATACTTCCATACTTTAGAAAATTTGTTGTTATAGACCCCCTACAGTCTAGTGGCGAACGCGTGGGCACAAAAGCAATGGCTTGAAAGCTTCTGAAATGTGCCCCATTTCATTTCAGTTAAATGTTTGTTGGTACCTCAAAAGTTTTGTTCCGAAGTAGTCTAGTTTACGTCCGAAATTGTGTCCGGGTTTCATTTAGCTGTTTACCAGGACAGCTCTGTAGACGCTTCACTGACAGTGTTCTTGCTTGCCATTTCCGTAATTCATGGGCGTCGCTGCTGAGCTTGCCGACCCGCTTGTGGATTGCCATCCAATCACACGAGCTTCAATAAGAAGCACGATGGCGCAAATACCGGTTTGCAGTTTCAGCATCTCTACAAAAGATTGTTTTGCAATAGTGAGGTGCCACTGCAGCAACAAGGCCGGTCGTGACCTTTTTTGTGGAACAATATGTGTACAGGCAAGCCTTCATAGGGCGAATAAGCTGCCCTTACCTTTCTTATTCTTGTTATCTGCCGGCGTAAGCAATTCGTTATCTAAATACTCGCCAATGTGCAATCAATCTTCTTGAGCGAGAAGACACGTCCACCTCAGAAACGCCTCAGACCTGTTGTGTTGTCACGTGGCGGTGATCATGAAGATAGTGGCGGCCACTGGTAGAAGCGAAAATTATTAGCGAATGTTTGCCCGTAAAAGAAATTCAAAGTAAGAGCAAAGCGGAATGTGCTCTGACTGTGGCAAACAGTGTCGTCGGCCTTCCGTAACC